AAAAAAACTGAAAAACGGAGTTAGGCCACTTTCAAAATAAACGGCTCACATAATTAACATATGCATAATTAAATGATGGAAATATATCTTGATATAAAAAATAATTGATTATGAATTTAATTATGTATTTCGCGAATACATATAATATATTCCTGGAAATAAAAAATCAAATACAAAGAGAAAATTATATTTGATCGTGCAGCATATATAAAATGAATTAAAAGAAAAATTCAAATAATATAATACCAAAAAAAAAGAAAAAACGTGTGAAATGTAAAAACCCAGATGCATTAAATATTGCTTTCTAGTATTATGACAACGTTGTCATTTCAAATACCTCTACGCAAGTTTTTGTATTGTCGAGCGTCCACCAACCACTAACACCACCACCACCACCAGCACCGCCATGAAACCATGGATATGTTTCGAATTTCAATGAGAATCGGAAAATAAAGGGTAGGAACGCGTACTCGTGGAAAAATTTACAAAAGGATGAGTTTGAGTCGAACAAAGAGATAAATACGAAATAAAGAAAGAGTGAGCGAGTAAAGGAAAAAGATGAGGAAGATGAGGAAGAGTAGAAAGAGTGGTAGGACGGGTAGGGGCAGGAGGTGGGGGGTAGGGTGGTTGGTTATGTATCGTACGTGACACTATTTCGTAGCTTTAGCAGCCATCGGTTGGACGACTTATCCGTTCCTCGTGTAGTTTGTCAAATCAAGAAGCTCGCACGTTTCTGTTTGCTCTTCCCCCGAAGCGAACGAGTTAAAAGCATCGACAGGAGGGGTGAGTGGGGGGAGGGAAACGGAGAGGAGGAAGAGGAAGAGAGCAAAATATAGGGGGATGGGTAGAAGAGCAGTTTTAAAACGGGTGAATTGAAGCGACTGAGGTGATACTAGATGAAAAGAGAAGAGAACAGGAGTGATGAGGTGAGGGGTGAAGAGGTGAGGAGGGAATGTGTCGAGTCCTCCGGCGGTAACGCTTTTTACCCTTTTGTTGTTGCGATAGGTATCGGGATATTCGATTGAAAGGGTAGGAAAAATTCGGGATAGCTGAATGACGTTGAAAATAGAGAAGAACGAGACGAGCTGAAAGAGCAACAACAAAGTTTGTCGATGCTTGTTGTTTTTCATTGGGAACAGCAAAACAAACAAAAAATGAAAAGATGTGTTGTGTGTAAGGGAAGGGGGAAAAAAAAAAAGGAAAGAACGAAAACGGGATGAAAGAAAGAGATTGGAAAAATAATGCGAAAGGAGAAACGTTTTGTTTTTTAGTTTTAGTTTTGATAAGAACAAACGTAGAAACGATATTGTATTGAAATGACAAATATTTTTTCTATCTTTTAGATCGTATCTTAAAGTTCTTAGATAAGAAACAATGCAATATTAGTGGTGGTGATTGAATTAATGATTAAACAAATTCTTTATAAAAGAATAAACGAAGAAGATTTTGAAAACGTTATAATATACATATATGAATAGAGAGAGAGAGAAGAATTACAAAGGATGTTAACACACACACGATGTTAAACGTTTATTCTCTTCACAGGCATATAGATGGATTTCACTTTGATGTATTTAGCTTTTGTACATCGGTTTAAATTCTCTACCTTCTTCATGGGATAACAAAAAAAACATAAAAAAGATAGATAACAAAAATGGGGAGATATTAAAAAAAAAAGAATATCAGCAACAACCAACCAACAAACGCGAGTTACGCGAGTGCTGTGTAGGTATATACAATTACATACTTCGAAAACTATGACGAACCCATGATTGGTTGTTCAGTGGCTAACTTTATTGGACGCGTTATTTACGGTCAACGGGATAAATGTTCCTTTAGGTGATAAAACTAAAATGATAATTTGATAAAGTTTGAAAAAAAAACGTGTATTAAATCGTTGCGGTTTTCGTATTATTCTTCTCGTATTATTTATTATGCATTAAACATCCGGTAATTATGAATGGCTTTATTAAACTCCTCTTTTGGATTTTGTTGTTTGTTGTTGTTGTTAAGAATTATCCTTTCATTCACCGTTTTATATTATCCCGTATTTCTATTGAAGAAAAATTCAGGATTAAATCTATCCAGGACTACGGGGACCAAACAAAACTGTATTATACGAAATTTTTTCTAATAATTCTTGCCCTCTTTTAAAATGATTCTTTCTTTGACGTTCGTACGCGACTTCTCGGTTCGAGATATATTGTATAACCGAACAAAAGGGTGTTTACATCGGCGTAGTACTAACCTAAATAATTTGAAAATTCATAAGGAAAACTGACCTAAATAAATTCCACGAATTTATCTTGGTAACGTTAGGAAAATCATTTTTTTTTTGTTTGTTTGTTTCAACCAACAGTCAATCAAAAAATGACCACTACTACTATTACTATTAATACTATCACAACTATATACTTTTACCAACAGGTGTATATACAATACTAGAAGAAATATTATTATTATTAAAAAGCCGTGAAAATATTTCTTCGCAAACGAAAGTTTCTTTCTGAACAAAGAACATTTTCAAGAAGAAAGTCTATTGCTTTTATCTACTCACGTCAGTTTGATAACAACTCCGATAACGTAAAAAAAATCGGTCGTTTTCATCTTACAATTTATGACTCTCTCTGATCGATAACGATTAAATGCAATTTCGAACGAGACGATGCATAAAAAAAAAGGGAACAAGAAATTAAAGATGAGAAAAACGAGTCTCGTTTAAACGGGAATCTTGTTCAACGTTTCTCGTTTTATCTCTTCACTAATTTGTTCGAACAATGCAGATTTATCTATTTAAATGCACGATCATCGTTTTCGTGTCGATTATTTTCATACGGAACGAGACAGACTTTTTTTATTCAAAAAATTTCTAAGCCGACGAATATTCTTCTTTACCCAACTATCTAATCTTTTCTTGTTCATTATCTTATTCTTCTTTTTTCTTAAAAAACACGATGCAATAATTTCTCTTCTTTTTATTTTTATATTTTTATCTTTGAAAACGCGTACACTTTTTTCATAAAATTCGAGAGACGGGATTATCGACATTGTCAATCTTGAGAAAATAAAAGAAAGGTGATGATAATCATATCGGATAGAAAAGAGAGAGAGAGAGAAAGAGGAAAAGAAAACAAATAGGAAGTGGTGAGAGATATTTCATGGCGAGAAAACATCCTATGGGAATATCAATGAAGATTTTGCTACGAGACAAAAACAATGCGTAGCTGGTTGGCGTATCTCATCTCGTTCTCGTTCTCTTTCACGAAAGGAATAGAACTTTAATATTGGTTCTGACATTTTTCCACCCCTTAAAATGAAACACATGGCTGAGAGGGAGAAAACCTTCAACGTAGGAGAATAATCGTGATAGTAACTTTTAACAGTCAAGAATAATAGTAACAGTAATACCAAAGTTATATTCTCGTAAAACGTATGTTCAAATCGTGACAAAAAAAAAATTATAATACAATGTATTAATAACTTAACCAGTTAACTGTGTCGATCATTTTACAAAGTGCGCCCTAGTGTGTGCCGCGATAATCAACCGATGACGGATATAGTCGTCAAACACAGAGTAAGTGGCACTGTTGAAATGTTCGGTCAAAAAGACGACTTTATTTTACAAAATGAATAAATTTATGAGTAATATTTAAACAATGGATCAACGTAAAGCTATATTTACACATAATTAACGAAAAACTTAAAAAAAATCAAATATTTAACAAACAAACAAACAAACAAAATTTTTTTTTTTTTTCTTTGGTTAGACATCGCGGACATCATCGCAGATGGAAAATCTAATATACTTTGTTTTTTTGGTTATGACACGTCAAGATAAAAATCAGAATAATCAAAGATCTAGTGTCCAACTCAAATTATCTATAATTTTCATTTGCTTATTTCATTTCGTCCTGACCACTAAACATTCTAAACATATTAATATTTACGAATATAATTTAGTTTTCGCTAGAATTACAATTTAATTATCAAATTGTATGAAAACTTTACGCATGACGGATATAGCCGTCAAACACACAAAATTCTGCCATTCTTCCATGACGGATATAGTCGTCAAACACACTTAACTGGTTAATCAGTTATTTCTCTCGTCCAAAATTATAATTCTTAATGATAAGGTATCACAGGGAACTTGGACATAAAAAAAGAAGTAGAACTTAATTAAACTAAGTTGGACGTTTCGTCCGTTCCTTTA